CATTCTGTGATTCTATGATTTACATCTCATCCCAATCTCTTGCCATCAGGGGCAGCTTATATCTCTTTCAGCAGTTTTATAATTAATTGCAAGCCCAGCAATAACCACCTCCTTCCAGAGCCACGTTAGTCTGCTGACCTCAGCCCAGCTGCACCTTGTGTGAAGAAGAAGAAGATACACACTTTTTTTTTGCAGCATTTTCACCTCCACATGAGGGTGTACAGCTGAAAGATGCTGAAGGTCAGGCAGGATCAGCTCATCCTCCCTGCCAGGAATTCCAAGGATTTTTGTTCATTTAGGGTAAAAAACATGTTCATAATCCATGTCAGATTTTAGTAATCATCCTGTTATGCTTCTGGATGAGTAACAGACAAGGATTGCCTCTCACACAAAGGGGAGGGAAACAAGACTTACCTCCCACTGTTTTGTAACCTGTGTTATAACACCAGCCACGAGTGCCAAGAGTTGCTATCAGGGAGAGGGCACAGGCAGGGCATGCCAAGAGCAACTCTCCATCCAAGATTATACAATCTTTTCAGGGAGTGTTGCATTTTTTTGCAGCTTGATGATGCTTTGGGCCAACAGCAGAGGTCAGAATTGCCTTCATTTATGCAAGCACAAGACAAGTCAGAGCAGAGCTCAGAGTTGGCTGCCTGGCCCAAGCCTCTGAGCCCTAAGGTGAGTGAAAACTTATGTAAGTATTTTTAAATTTTTTTTAAATGTTACTCCAGGAAAAGTACTTAATTTTAGTTTATAGCACAACCCCAGTGAAGCTGCTGAAATCAGGCACATACCAAAGTCAGGAGTCAGGATTACAGGTGGGGACAAGGTGCTATGTGAGGGACATCACTGTCCCCTGAGTAGACAGGAGGTGCAGCACCATGGAGGGACATGCTGCTCCAAAAGTGAAATTAAACTCTGCAGCTTGTGCTTAGACAGCACTTTTTGGGTAGAGAAAAGAGGAAGACACTACTACTTGCAGGGAGCAGCCCAGGAGGAGGGATGGAGACGAGCACACAAAAAGACAGTCTGAATTTGGCCAAAACAAAGCAAAGATGCGACAGGAAAAGATGTGACCAGATCTTTTGTTCCCATTTTTGGACTGTCCTCATTTCACCTTCCAGCCTCTAGATCTATTTTGCAGCCCCAGTGATGACTTCCAGAAGAGCTCTCCCTTCCCAGCCAGGACAGAGCACTGACCCTGATGCCAGGCACTCAGTGCTCTGGTGCCATGCACTTTGGCAGGAGCTGCTCAGTGCTAAACACTTGCAAATCCAGCCTGATAAAATCATCCCAAACAGTTCCAGCTATCATATTCACCCAGACACCTCAGGCACTGACAACAGCTTATCACAACACTCACCACTTTGTCTTAGTGTGTAAATACACCTCAGCTGTGGCATTTTATCAGGTTATCCTGATTATGGAAACAACCAGGCAATGCTTGAGCTGTTTCCTTACCCCAACAGAACCCTGCACACAGAACTGCAGCCTCCTGAGAGACCCTGTGCTGGTGCTTGACCCAAACACACTAACTCCAGCTGTGAGGTATGCCTACCATATGGATGGAGCTGTAGCAGAGGGAAGGGAGTGTGGTTGTGGCACATCTGGGGTGCTCTGTGGCTCCAAACCCACAACCCCAGGCAGGGCCATGTGCTGTTGTACAGGCATGTCATGGCCCACAAGAGGCCAAGGGTGGGCTGGCAGCATGGGCCAAACTCAAGTGCATGGCTACTAAATATTGCAGGAGGTCCTGAGCAGAGCTCAGCCAATGCTCAGCCTCAGCATCCATAGTGCCAGTGCCTGCAGCAATGCCAGCAGTGATGGCAGGGGGACAGGTAGTGGCTTAGGGGTGGAGTGGGAGCATGAGAAGGAAGAGGGGGAGGGAGTAACCAGGGTGGGCAAGTCACTGCTCATGAGAGAAACCAGAGAGCTAAACGCAGACTGAACTCCAGGGACAGCAAGGGAAATATGCACCAGCTAATGCATTTTCTACAGGTTCTATGGTTATAAAAGAAGTAGAAAGGCTGAATATCCCTAGTGCTCCATTAGGGAGAAAAATTATTTCTACAGGTTCTATGGTTATAAAAGAAGTACAAAAGCTGAATATCCCTAGTGTTCCATTAGGGAGAAAAATTATTTATAAAACTAGCATCCCAATCCATCAGAAATTAGACACAATCAAAGTTCTCTTGGCACTGTGAGCGTCCACCTCATACCCATCCCATTCTCCTGGGAGCATCCTTATCCCTCCACTCCGGGTTCCTTCAGACCCACCTCCTCTACTGTTTTTTCCCCACTAAATCCTTTCTCTGCCAAGCCACAGAGCCTGCAGGTCACATCTCTGTGGGGCAGGTGGGGACCCAGGGCTGGGCCACCATGAGGTGTCCCCTCCTGTCACACCATCTCCCTAGAGCTCCCCACCCCACACAGGGAGTTTACCTGCAGGATTATGCATCTTCCTTCTTGTCCCCCAGCCTCAGAGGATGCTGTAGTGGGCTTGCTGCCTCCTCAGAGGCTCAGGTGTTGTCGAGGTGACAGACTTCTCCTGTGATCACCAGGGCAGAGCCCCAGCCGTGGGGAGAGGCTGTGCAGGGAGGATGGCCCCAGGCTGGGGCTGCACCCACTCCAGCTGCACCCTCCTGTCCCACCCAGAGCACAGGCAGCAGTGAGATTCAACAGCATTTGACACGAAAAGGGAACAACAAAAGAGCCGACTTTCGACGCCTTGGCTTTACATAAGTTCACATCCTGACCTTGGGAAGCTGCTGGCTCTCAAGGAGTTAATCAGCAGTTTCATAACCTTCTGGTTACATATCACAGACATGTGTCCCAGCTAAACTCCCAGGTATGAGGCCAAAAAAGTCCCAGGACTCTGAACCCCAGGTTATCTACAAGCAGTCCATAGCCACGAGATCACTGCTGCCTCATGCAGCCGAATGTCAGAGCAATCCCTGCACCCCAGAGAGGGTCCCACTGGCTGGGGGAGGCATCAGGAGGAATCACTGTGAACATCCAAGGTATCCAATAGCCTAAGTTGGCTTGCAGCAGAGCTGGGTCAGAAAAAGCTGGCGAGGAACTAAAGCAAAGTCATTAGGGCATGTGATGGAGCCAAGGTTGACTGGCCATCTCCTCTTCATGCAGATGAAACACAAACTGAAGCTAACAAGGAAACATGGATTCCCCCATAATCAGAACAGCATCTTCCACCTCTGGGATATGATACATCCCTGGGATCTTTCAGTCAAGGACCAAGTCAGTGTACCTGCAAAAGGTGCTGAGGGAGCCCAGGGTTGGGAAGAGGAGGTGAACAGGCTGTGGGGAGCAGGTCTTCATGCAAGGATCTTGGCAGCCTCTCTGCAGGTTGGATGGTACAGGGACATGGCAGTCATTGGTGCTGGCAAGCAGATGGAGTTCGGAAAATTAATTTAATTAACTTTTAAAATGAAACAGAAGACACTTTAGTGCCCCCAGAATAGAAAAGGGAAGTAAAAGCGGAAAATAAGTAAGTGCACAGGACAAAAGAGTAAAAGAAAAGCAAATAAAATAAGTTCCAGTGCTGAGTGGATTGCTATTAATTAAAACAAATAAACAAGATGCAGAGGACAGACCTCCTGGCACATCTAAGATTATTTGTTTTATGATTTAGTAAACAACAAACTGCTTTAGACTTGCAGTTCCTGCAGAAAGCAATCCAAATTGTGTTTGGAATGGGAGTTAAATTTCAGGCAAGTCTTTGGTAAACAGGCTAATAGCTTTAGTATGTTACCTAATCCACATCCACCAGCTTTGAAAGTGACTTTGGGCAACTTGTTTTGCTTCTGTGACTTTATTTTCCTCTTCTATAAAATGGGGATAACAGTTTGTCCTCTTTCCAAAGTGTTTTTCCATCTGGATGTGAAGCCAATAATGAAAACTAGAGTCAGGAGTTAGACTCTTCCTGGAGCAGTGCTACATGGCTTTGGAGATTAATCTTGTAGCTCTTCCCCAGTATTAGTTCTTAGATGAAGGTTCCTAAGTGAGTTTGGCTGCAATTAAACCTTCAAAGCAATGAAGAGGTCTTGTCCAATGGGTTCTAAAGACCCATTTTTTCCAGCCTCTGCTTTTACGTCTGGTTTTGGTTTTCTTCATCTTTGTTTCTGAACAGAGACAGCTTTCAGAAACATAGCCAAGGAGGTGGCAAAGATGGGTCTGTTCCTTCAGGCACTGCTGGTGAAATCAAAGGATGATCTTCCTGTGCTCAGCATACAGAGCTGTATTCTAAGGCAATACTTGGTGTGGCAAACTAAGCCTGGGGCTCTCTGAGAGCCCCAGCTGGAAGATCATATGGAAAAGTGAATTGTGCATCCCTCAGTCAAGTGGGGATCAAAACTCACCTCATCTCCCAGACAGCCCTTCAGGAGATAAACTCTCTCTGATCTTTTTTTAAGCCCACCATAAAAGCTAATATATATATATAAATTTTGCCCCCCAATTCAGGAGAATCCCAGAAAGGTGAGCTCAAAAGAGTTTTAACCAGCTGGTATTAATCCCCATGCTCCTGCCCTTGTCTCACCCCATAAGAGCAGCTTAGAGCCACAGCCAGATCAGAGGCCCTGCTCAGCAAAGGAGGTTCCTGAATGATGTGGAGAATCACACAAACTGCCTTTCATAACTTTAAACTTGCTGTAGGGCATCATGTTGGAAGTTGATTTATGCACTCCTATTGTACTTCTTAAGCATTATAAAACCAGCTGATTATACAACCCCATCCTGGGACTTGCACGTGTCTTCAAACACTCCTGCCACCCCTAACATGCATCCCAGATTAGATAATCTTAGTTTTGTAATTAGTCTCTCCTGAGGAGATAAGACCTCCCCTTCCAACGCCTGGTCACCTGGAGCCTTTAAAAAGCACCTGAAAGGCACCCAGTGATGGGAGATCTCTGAACAGGGAGATTTTACCTTCTGGAAGCATGCTGGTGTCAGAAGAGGCCTGTGCTGCAGCATCCCCAGCCACCATGCCCCAGGAGCCCCAGCAGACAGACTTCCAGCTGGTGCGAGTCAAGAGCACATGGTGCCGCATCAAGAAAGGAGAAGCCCTTTCCAATGGGAAGGATGAGATGATTCTCTCCGAGGCAAAAATGTAAGTATAGGAGTCCACGTTGCTCATTGATGACTGTGCTGGACAGCTCTGGCTATCCAAACTTGGCAGTGTCCCTGGTGGGATGCAACTCAGATGGAAAAACCATCTTGTGTGCCACTGTGGCTTACACCCACCATTACAGAATTACAGAATATTTCAGGTTGGAAGGGACCTTTAAAGGTCAAGTCCAACCACCCTGCCATGGGCACGGGCACCTTCCACTAGACCAGGTTGCTCAGAGCCCCATCCAACCTGACCTACATGTCCAACCCTGTGCAAGTGAACTTCAGAGCACCTGTAACATGGCACAGGTAGTTGCTGTTCTCCTTGGCATGACTTGGCTAAGTTGCAGAGGCAATTTTATCAACAGCCTCAGTTTTCATGATGCGAAGTTTCTTTAAAGTTCTGAAAGGTTTACACAGGGACTGCTGCCTGCTGCACTTGGGCTTTTTGGTTTTCTACCTGTGTGTACCTGAAGTCTCTCTGTCCAAAAGCTCATACACAGGCATGAGAGACTGACACATTTATAGCAGTGGTTGAAGGCAAATGAAATGGCTAAGTGGGAAAAATAAACAGTCCCTGATGGGAGCACGACCCATAACACATCTCTCAAACAGCAGAAGTCACCTAATGCTGCTATAGATAGAGAAGAGAGAAATATTTCCCCTGGGATACAAACAAGTCTTTGCTGATATTACATCTCTCCAGTTAATTATGCTTTAATTACAGGGTACTCCTCACAAGAACATCCCTGTTCATGCTGCTGGTCTTTCTTAATACAGCTCTGTTTTGCATATCAGAAGTTTTCTAGCATTTGTCATACTCTGGCACAATTCTAACTCTTTTCTCAATCAGGTCAGAGGGACCTCCACCAGCTCTGGCAGGGAACAGTGGCCATGCACGAGCATCACTTGGGCAGGGCTCTAGCAGGTAGAACAGGACTTTAGCAGACCCAGAAGCAGTCTGCTGGACCTCAGTGAATAGCAGGATGAGCCTAGGGCTCAAGAACACCCAGAAAAACCCTCAGCTGACATATGCTCCAACAAGGAAATGTTCACTCCAATTCACTATGATTTTCATACAGCAAAGGAGTTGCAATGGGTGCTGTGTCATCCAGCACCCCAAACTGATTCCACCAACTAACATTCCAAACCATCCTGTCTCTTAGAAGGGCCACACACCAAAGATGGATACAAATGCACTTAAAGTACAGCCATAAGGTAGATATTTGGTGCATAAAAACATACACAACAATGCTTTTGGTAAGCAAAACCCATTGTGTTTTAAAAGCCCACAAGAAATTTTCTGGAAGGTGTAAATCCTCACTGGTTTTCTGCAACACCCACAAAGGTTAAGAATAGACTCAGAGACAATTTGGTAATGAGAGAAACATCTATTTAGACCTATAAAAGAAAGTTCAGG